TTGTAATGGGACTGAAGCCTGAGACTGTTCCCAGCACAGTGGACCCCAATCTTACACGAGGCATGCATTCATTCAGACCACACAAATAACAACCGGTGTGTAGATGTTCTCTGCCCTATCAACGCAGCTGGCAAAAATAATCCACACTCAACCTTTATTTGGTGCTTTACTCCTTACAAACAATCGTAAAATAATCTATCTGCTTTACGTCAAAGCACAATACAGCTGTGCTACAGCACTCTCTGTGCAGCACTCTCTCATCAATAAATAATGAAAAAAGAATATTAATTCTTAATAGTTCTTAGCAGATATGAGAAATAAATTGTTCTTCAAGAGAACATTACCTTTGTCACTTAGCCTTCTCCCACCTTGGATAGCATGTCTGACTAGATAGCAGGATTTTAAAAAAGAAAAATCTTAAATGCTGGTATTTTACAGCGTACTTTATGTACTGAGGAAGAAAGAATTAAGACCAACGAAGATAAAGAAATAGTATACATTTCTCTAAAGAAGCGGTAGATTTTTTTTTCATACACAATGTTACTGTACAGTTAAAGTAAGTTCTGAAAAGGTCAAGGTCAGCATTTTAAATCTAATATTAAAAGTAAGTATTATATTATTAACTCTACTATATACCCATCAAGATGATTTGCTATTTTCACTCCTTATCTATTCAAAGGAGAAGAAATTAGTAATTTGTTAATTTTTAAGGACACCACTCGCCACTGCACACCTAATTTAACAGCACCTAATTTAATATTCAGCAAGATGAATATGAGTGGAACAGGTACCTAAAGGATTATTGTGCCTGACAAATTTGGTGGCCTTTTACGATACTGCCACAGACTTGGTAGACAAGGGCAGAGCAACTGACGTCATCTACCTGGACTTATGCAAAGCATTTGACACTGTCCCACACGACATCCTGGTCTCAAAATTGGAAACCCACGGATTCGATGGATGGACCACTCGGTGGATAAGGAGCTGGCTGGACGGCCGCACCCAAAGGGTGGCAGTCAACGGCTCAATGTCCAGGTGGCAGCCAGTAACGAGTGGTGTTCCACGGGGGTCGGTATTGGGACCAGTACTATTTAACATCTTTGTTGGAGACATGGACAGTGGGACAGAGTGCACCCTCAGCAAGTTTGCTGATGACACCAAGCTTGGTGGCACAGTTGACACGCTGGAGGGAAGGGATGCCATCCAGAGGGACCTGGACAGGCTGGAGAGGTGGGCCCGTGCAAATTGCATGAGGTTCAACCAAGCCAAGAGCAGGGTCCTGCACCTGGGACGTGGCAACCCCAGGCACAAATACAGGTTGGGAGGAGAATGGCTGGAGAGCAGCCCTGAGGAGAAGGACTTGGGGGTGCTTATGCATGAGAAGCTCAACATGAGCCGGCAGTGTGCACTGGCAGCCCAGAGAGCCAACCGTGTCCTGGGCTGCATTAGGAGAAGTGTGGCCAGCAGGTCCCGGGAGGTGATTCTGCCTCTCTACTCTGGTGAGACCCCACCTGGAGTGCTGTGTCCAGCTTTGGAGTCCTCAACACAGAAAGGACATGGACCAGCTGGAACAGGTGCAGCGGAGGGCCACGAAGATGATCAGAGGGATGGAGCACCTCTCCTATGAAGACAGGCTGAGGGAGCTGGGATTGTTCAGCCTGGAGAAGAGGAGGCTCTGGGGAGACCTTATAGCGGCCTTTCAATATCTGAAGGGTGCCTATAGAAGAGCTGGGGAGGGACTCTTTGCCAGGAGGTGTAATGATAGGACAAGGGGAAACGGTTTTAAATTGGAAGAAAAAAGATTCAGATTAGATCTCAGGAAGAAATTTTTTACTATGAGGGTGGTGAGACACAGGAACATGTTGCCCAGAGAAGCTGTGGCTGCCCCATCCCTGGAAGTGTCCAAGGCCAGGCTGGATGGGGCTTTGAGCAACCTGCTCTAGTGGGAGGTGTCCCTGCCCATGGCAGGGGGGTTGGAACTAGATGATCTTTGAGGTCCCTTCCAACCCTAACCATTCTATGATTCTATGATTTGATGACACTTCTAAATGCTGAATAAGACAACAAGAGTAGATTGAAATGTAATTAGAAGTACAAAGTTCTATACTTTTATATTGTATTATTGTTTTTACTGTCATTGACTGTCTAAGAATGAAAACAGACAGTAACAGAATTCCAGGTCCCTGTTTGGAAATTTCAATGCAACCGACTCTCACAGCTTTTTAATAAATAACTGAACTTCAAAGAAAATTAATATTCAGCAAATCATTTTTAGACAACCAAAAAAGAGGCATGTGGCATTCTGAGACATTTAATCCACAAAAGTGGCATTTATCAATAATACATGCTGAGACAGTATTCTATGAAGGAAAGATGACACAGAGACTTTAAAGCTTTGGGTTCTTTAGAAGTGATTGAAAAAAAAACGGCATGGAAAAAAACCCCAGCATGGTACCAGTAGGAAGCCGTAAAATCGCACTGATTCCTGGAGGCATTCCAAAAGTGGAAGATTACCTCTCTGCAAGCAGTGATCTTTAATTGCATACCCTCTCACAAACACATGAATCTATTAAGATAAAGAAAATAATCACTTTGACGCACTTAAGATGACCGAACTTTATCCTACAGCTAAATTTCTTAAATTCATCAAGTTCCTTTGGAAATTATGTTCTTACCCAAAAAAAAGTTTAAGAAGTGTAATTTTCATTTTCAGGAAAAAATAAAATTAAATGCCACGCTGTTCTTCTACTTGTGAAAAATAATAACTGCAAATTCTGGAAGAGGAAATGATTGCTTTTACTGGGTTCTGTAGTCAGTCATTTCTGTATGTGAATAAAATACGTGTTTTTTTCAAAACATACGTGCAATATTGAGTGTACTTGTAGAATAATTTAGCATAGCTTATTATCATACCATGTTTTACTTATAACAACAATGTGGTTTTATACTGAATTTATATTTCATAGTATAGACTGCATCTTGATCCTCAGTTTGCACTTACACATGATGCTTATTTTTTAACAAGATCAATAAGCCTACTACTGAAAAAAACTGCTACATGTTTACATCTCTCTAAGTAGAAAGCATGGACAAGCCAAACCTATTAATCAAACCTGAGGGGTTTTTTGGAACTAGGTAAGATCCATATTCCATTAGTATTATCATGTATCAGTAACTAAATATAGATATGGCCACAATTTCCTCTTCAAATTGTGCAGAATACAATGCTTGAAATGTAAGCCTCAGTCAGCCCAATTTGATATTGAGGAATAGCACTGTCTTTTTTTTTTTTTTTTTTTTTGACTGTGCTGAACCCTCCTCTGCTGTCAGTTAACTTTGTCTCTCTCTTTGGCTAATACATAAGGGTGTATGTATGACATCACTTGCTTGACTAATTCATGAAGAAAAATGGGAATATTTTAAAATAAGTGAATTGCACTATTGATTCCTTGCTGAAACATTTTTCCCCAAATGTTACTTCTGTGTTTAAAATATTTTGCAAAGACCTATACTCAGTTATAACTGAGACTTATTTTAGGCAGAAAGACAGCAGTTCTTCTGGCCTATTTAGAAAAGGCACTTTTCCACATTGACAGGGAGCTGGGTATGCTAAACAACAGAAAAAAAAAATGAAAGATTCTACGAAATACCTGAAATAATGTAATTGTCAATATTTTTTGCATCATTTGTACATGGTCAATCTAGAACAGTTAAAGCATAAATATTTCTGAAGGCAAGCAACAGAAAGGAGGGTTGTAATTTTCCAAACAGACCCTAAAGTTTTAGCCATGGCCCAACTTCAAAATCAAAGGGTAAACACAATTATTACCTCTCGATGATTTACAGATGGCCTATAATTGAGGGCCCACATGAATCCCAGGTCTGACAACCATTACAATTCTTAGCACGACAGCAAAACACAGTATATAAAGGGCTTTTTGTTTGGACGCGTTGTTTATAAGCCAGGCTCAAACCAGGGCTGTGCATCTCCTGTGCGAACAATTCCCTCCTCTCTCCAGCCAGCACAGAGCAGCACGGCCCGGGGGAGGCCCAGGGGACACCCCGCCGCTGCGGTTCTCGGGCCCTCAGCTCTGCCGGGGCCGAGCCGACTCCCCAGCAGCACGGAGGTACCGATGGCAACGATGGGGCCGGAGACACCGGGGCAGGGCCGGGATCACCTGCCGTTACCGGCGCCACCACCCCCAGCGGCGCAAACGCGGCCTTGTCTGGGGCGAAGCCGGGGCAGACGGAAGCGTTACAAGGAAATTACGTTCTTTTTGCCAGGGCCGGGGTTATCAGCCACCCCAAACCGCACAGGTACACGATCGCCCCGCGACCGCCCCACTCCCCGCCGGTCCCGGCCCCTCCAGCGCCAACAGCCCCACCATGGCCTCCGCCCCCCGCCCCGCCCGCCGGCGGGAGGGCAGCAGCCTCAGCGCCCGGACTGCGCATGCCCACCCCGCCCGCGCCTGCGCCCCGCGCCGCCTCCCTTCATTCTAAGGGAGGACTCATTCCGGCAGGACAGCCGGGATGCCGCAAACGGGCTTCCCCTTCTGTCACGGCGCGGCCGCCGGGCCTGGCCACCGGATGTGGCGGTCTCCAGCGCCGCCGCCTCTCCGCCGTCGGCCAAGAGCTCGCCCCCCCCACTTCGGGCTCCCTCCGAACAGCGCGCACCCACCTGCCGCCAACACCAGCAGCTCGCCGACCCGTCTGGCCCACCCGCCGCACCAGCAGCGCCAGCAGATTGGCTGCTTCCGGTGTCATTCTCCCGTTTCTTGCACTCGCAGTGGCTCTCCCGGCCGTCAATCCACGCGAAAGCCCGCCTACTCTCCCGAGCGGGTACCTCTCCGGGCCCTCTGACGACAGCGCGGGTGTCGCTCAAGCCGCAGGCACCGCCTTTTCCCTGATAAGTCGGTACCTGGCGCATTCCCCTGTCACTCACCGGGAGTTCTGATACCGGATTGGTCACCGCGCATCGAGGGTGGGTCCCTCTGAAGCGGAGGGCTGAGGGCACCGCCCCCGGCCGCCTCCGTCGCGGCGGCCATGGGGAGCGTCCGCTGGGCCTTCCCCTGCGCCGCCTGGCGCCCCCGCCGTGAGGAGTGGCTGCTGGCGGCGCGGCTGGTGCAGCCCGAGGAGAAGGACCGCATCGGCCAGTTTGTCTTTGCCCGCGATGCCAAGGCCGCCTTGGTACATGATGGCGGGGAGGGGTGAGGGGGATTTGCACAGCGAGGGGCGGCTTCCCCTCCCTCAGGGCTGGCGGTGTCAGCCCAGCGGGCGGGACTCAAAGGGCCGCGTTGGCCGGAGCGATCCGGCTCGGCCGACCCCACTGCTGCGGGAGAGCGCGGGTGTCGCCGGCCGGGCCCTCAGGGGAAGGGGCTGCCCCGCTGACCAGCGTCCCCACGGGAAAAGGCCCTTTCCCGTGGGGACGCAGTTGCCTCTCTGCAGATGCAGCACTGCCCACATTTTTCACTCCTCATGGGGAAAATACGCCCTGCAAAAGGCATTTCGTGGAAGTTAAATGCATTACGAAGCACTAGTTGCCAGCTCTGCTTACACCTTCACGTAGGAGGAGGAAGGGGTGTTTGCAGTCTGCGATGGGGAGTTGCTCTGAAAGGCTTTGCAAGTTTTATGTCGCGATGGCAAGTTAGGAGACCAAGTCAACGTGCTTGAGAAGACCTTACGGGAAGCCAGTAGTGCAATGTGTAACAGAATAAAGCTGTGTTTACTTATTTCATGTTTAAATCTCACATAACAACGTGGTAGTAGTACAGACTCCTTCTAATGAGTCTATAAGAAGTTACTCGTATTTCTCAGGTGTCCAGTATTTCATTTAGTGCCAAGTAACAGAATGAATGAATGGAAAAGAAAGTAAAGGAAAGCAGTTGAGATGGTTTTACTGTTAAGTGTGGTATAAAAAGTATTCACCTATGCAATAAAGTATCCTAAGTAAATAAGATGGAGAAGGAACTGTTTTATGTGATTCTTCTGGGCTGGGATTGCTTTTTATTGGATCTTGTCTTTGTGGTAATAGTGATAAATGTATTACGTATTTGGGTCTGGTGAACACATTTGGTTAAATTTAGTTGACACAGGCTTTTATACAGGAGAAATCTAAATGATTTGGCTAAAATACACTCTTACTTTCCATTGCAATAATAGAACCCCATTTTATTTTAGGCAGATGGTTTTCTAGCAATCACAGATATTTTGCACATAGCATAATAGTACTGTGTGAATCACTTCCATTTTATTTCATAGGCTGGTCGCCTGCTGATGCGGAAATTAATCACAGAGAAGTTGTGCATACCTTGGAATGAAATAAACTTGCAAAGGACATCAAAAGGAAAACCTTTCCTGGCAAATAACATATTCAGTATCTATTCAAATTACAACTTCAATGTCTCTCATCAAGGAGATTATGCAGTTCTTGCAGCTGAGCCTGAGCTTCAAGTTGGCATTGATATTATGAAGACTGATTTACCAGGTAATGCATTACGGTGACCAAAGCATCTTTGATATTATTTAAGTGTCGAACATTTTAATGTTTTCTGAAGAAACATCCGGTGTCCTGGACACTTAGTCTAATTGGAAGAGAGTGTATGAATGTATTGTGTATTTGCTTATTTTTAATTGTTACATGCACTCTTCATTGTTTATTTATGATTTTCTGTTATGCCAGATGTGGATACATTTCCAGTTTAGAAAAGCAGAACCCTGGAAAAACAAGGCTGTGAATCCTGCATCTGGTTGTGAATATGGCATCTGCAGATATTTTAATTATGGTTTTGCTGCCTGTTAGGTAGAAGCAGGGAAAACTTTCCAAGTAGGGACAGTGAGATCCATCCCCATGAGAACTTTACAGCCTATGAGAGTGTTACTCTCTTGTCCCATAAGTGTGGCCGGCCATTGTATGTGTCAGAACCAGGCCCAATACTGTAGCAAACTGGCATTGATGATTTGCTGTGAGCGTGCAGAAATCCTCAGTAAGAAGGAATCATGTGGGAACGTTTGAGGTGCCCCTGTTAAAAGACTAAACTTCACAAACTTTAGTTGTTGGCCTGTTTATTTGTATGAAATGTTGTGCTAACCTGACTGTATCAATGAACGTCAGGACCCAAATAATGAATTAGAATTGTAGCAAAGTGTATTTTTAAATACAGTTTTATGAAGATCATTTAGTCCACAAATGTTCATCGATTCATGACTGGGTTAAAGGAAAAACATACTGGGATTTACAATTTACTGGAATTTTAGTTTTTGAGAAGTCTCCTCAAACATTTAACCAAGTATGACAGTAATAGCTGTGCTTTTAGAAAAATCTCTCTTCACAATCTTCAATTTGCCCAACATTTTATGCCACGAAATAATCTGTATAGTAAATATCTCTGACTGGGTAATTTTCTGATGACTTTACACCTTTTTAATGATTATTACAAATGTACATTTTTGGGTTGGCATGTTTAGCTCAGAGGCACAGAAACTTTACTGCAATCCAAAGGGAAGTTGTTCTTCTCTGTGACTCACTTCCATCTACTGTAAACCCTCACTCTAAAGATGGTGGTCAGCGTGTGGTGCTTTCATGGTAGTAGGAAGGCTCTGTAACCATGCCAGAGCAGATGTCTACATTATAGCCTGTGGAGGATGCCACACCAGCACAGTTCTGTATTTTGTGGCAGGAACTGTGGCCCGTGGATAAGGCTGCACTGCAGCAGGTACACCCCTGAAGGGACTGCAGTAATGTAGGGTCCAAACACCAGATTAACCTCAAGGCTGGTGCTTTTATCGTAGCTCTCCCAGGCAAAGCAAACAAAGTGATGTCCCAACTGTGTCCCCTCCCAATGTCTGGCACACCCCCAGCCTGTTTGCTGGGGAGGCAGAGTGACAGAGAAGGCCTTGACACTGTGCAAACACTGCAGCTGTAGGTAAAATATCGGTGTGATATCAACACTGGTTTAGGTTTACATCTGAAAAATAGTGCTGTACAGGCTGCTATGAAAAAAAATAACACCCAGACCCAGTACCCTTGGAAACACTTTCGTTGAGCTTGCCACAGGCCTTACCACGACTCCCTGATTACTCATTTTTAAAAGCCTTCCTGTTACAGCAGGTAAATAGTGAAAATCAAAACATTCAAATGTTCTTCTTTGAATTTTAAGTTTTTCCTCGGAAATGAAAAATTTAAAGATATTTATACATCCCATATATGGAGGTAGGGGTGTCCTCTGCTGACATTTAATGCAACTGGAAATGTAGCTGACATTTTAAGGACACATTGGTGATGTCCAGATGACGAATCTTATGAAATGTGTTAAAATCTCCTTCTGAAAATAGGAAATAATTGTGAAGAGTAGAGGCTTGACTTTACATTTGGGTTTAGAAACCTATATTTATATTACTTCTCCATTTGGGAATATAATGCATTCAAATTTATAAGGGAATGTATTCCTAGTTCTTTTCCAGTTAATAGAAAAAACATCTTTTAACTTCAATATTACCTGGCTTTATTTAAAAAAAAAAAACCAACAAAAACAACCAAACAACTCATCTCTATTGTTTCCTTTCTCATGTATTTTTTACTTATTTATTCACTATTCCTGTGTCATTTCCCTCATGTTAAATCACCAAAGTAGTGAATAATTCAATGTTCCTTGATCTATTGCTCATTCTGCAGGCCGTGTCAGAGCAAATCAAGGGTTTTTTTACCATGTGTCTGAGTGTATTCTTCTTTCAGTGTCCATAGTCACTGCTGTCATAAGAGGTGTGGAATCAAAGTTAGGCTGTCAGAGTATATTGTGCCTCATTCTTAGTTATGTCAACTTTAGCAGGCTAAATTTAGGAAAAAAAATTCTTGCACTCACCCTATCAATAATGCTTTGGTTGCTAATCTGCTTCTCCCATGTAGGTTTGTGATTACTTGTCCTTGGGTTTCCAAATAACAACATGAAGCTGATGTTTGAAGTAGGATTTGGTATCAAGGAAAGGGTTTAATGTCAGCAGAAATATATGAAAAGTGATGAAACCAAACTCAGTTTTTATTTAAGTACAAACAGGGTTTAGATAAAGCATTCAGTTCATAACTTCTTCTGTAGCAAGAGGCTTCTGCCAGTGTGTCCTAGGGTTGTTGATGGCAGCAGTCATGACTTCTTACCATAAAGCAAATGTTGCCACATCCGTCCCCCTCCGGGGGACTGCACTCAGCAGAGGTGTGGATTTAAATTCTGAATATAACCTGGTGAGACTAAGTAACGCTGTGAGATCCAATACAAACAGGCTTCAGTAGTTTTACCCATAGAGAGAAAAACAGTGTTTATTCTGGTAATGATTCCAAAGACTAAACGATGGAATTAAATCAGTGCTTTTGTAATAAAGTGATACTGAAAAACTATGTATCCAGGTGACCAATCTGAAACAAGCTAATGACAGATGCAGCCTGTTAGGATTCCTGTACGTGGGTCCTTTATGCACAGCTACTTTTTCCACATCTTCCTTGTTCATCAGAGGTCTAGGTGTATATTGACAGAAAAAGGGACCAGTAGGGCCTCACGGTATCCACAGTCTGAATTCATGGTGGCAGGCTTCACAGTGTATACAGAGGAGTACAAAATGCATTGGTACAAAATCTCTGGCTTTCCTTTCCATTATCTGGAGTTCTGTAGCTGGCATCATCGGTCCTGAACTAATTTAGCTGTTAACAACTTCTGTACATCTTTTCTATCTTCTGGTAAGGAGAGAAAGGAACTACAGTGCTTGTCATTATGCATAAGAAATAACTGTCACGTGTCAACACCTGGTTGTGCAATTGTTCTCTACATTATGTAACTTTATGTAAATATTTGTGAATTAAATAAAGAAAAGCCCCAGGTTCTAAATATTGAAGAAATTTTGTTTATGGCTCTGCATTTTCCTTTTTGTAATTATAATTTGTATTTTTGGAAAAGAAATATGACAGTAATGAAAACTTGGTAACTGTATGTGCGAAAGTGAGCCAGTAAATAAGCAATAAAGGATATAATTTAAAATTATAGTCTCTGTAATAAAAAGGTAGCAGTTTTTCATGTATAATTTTTCTGAGAAAGATTTTGGTTTTAGTAGAATTACCTGGAGGTGTTTTTACTGTTGTGCTATCAATATATAACATTGAATTTGCCAGTGTTGCTTTATCTGATAGTTCCACTGAGTGGTGCTCTTGCTCTGCAGCTGCTAAGTACATTATATTTCTGAGAGTGAATCCACTATAAATCTCTTTCTCTGGAATAGCTACAAGGACAAAGAGTTCCTGATGTACAAAGTACATTACAGTAGGTTTGGTTTTTTTAAGTACTTCATCTTGTGATGTTATCCAACAGAATCTTGATTGAGGTCTCCAATGTTCTGGTTCTTATATTCCTTTATTGTGCAACCAGTGAAGAAAATATGCAGTGCAAATATGCAAGAGAGTATCATGTAGCTGAAAGTTTTGAGAAATATGCTATTAAATTGTGTGCTAGCACGTAACAAGGAGACCTGGTGCACATAGCACAGATTAAGAAGAGACATAAAAAGTCTATCTATTTTTGTTTTACTTATAAGCAATAAGAAGGCATCTCTTTCCATATTACTTTTGCTGCATTATTAAAATATGAAAAATTAAACTACTGCAAGGCATAGCCTTCTTCGAACGTGAAGGCAGACCACACAAGAAGCTGTTCTTAGCAGTTCAAATAGGACAGTTTGACAAAAATTCCACAGGTATGCAATAGTTTATCGCCTTTTTTCCTCTATTCATATATTGAACTAAAATAATGTGGTGATGGTAGAAAAGGAAAATGTCCTTTTTAGCTATTGTTGCCTTTTGGTTATCCATCAGGTCATTGTTGTAGATTTAAATCAGGCTCTCAGTTTACTTGGTTTTGGAGAATTACTGAGCTCAATGATATTTTTTTTCTTCTCTTTTCATCATTTAAGACAAACTCTTGAGTCATTTGGGAAAGAGCACATCATACTGTAAATTTGTTAACGGAAGTAATTGTGGACATTATTTGTTAAGAGAGGTAATGCACATGGAATTTTTTTAACCCTTTCGCAAAAAAATGTGAAGGATTCTCAGAGTAATGCTATCTCCTGTGGAAGAACTCAGCTTCTGATAATGTATTTGATTTTTAATTTACAGACAGGAAATTTTGCAACAAGTGTCAACTTGGTTTAAGTGGTGTGTGGGATGTTGATTTACCAGTCACTTAAACTCTATAAAGTAGAACATTTTCAGAGACATAGGGAATAATTATAGCTTAATAAAGATTGCTTTGAGCATTTAAAAAAAGTTTAGATCTCAGGTTCAAGAGCTTTCCTGCTGTGAAAGTGAATTTCTTTTCAGTAATACAATTTTTTAGCTTAGATGAAATTACAAAGGTAAATAAATTAACAGTTCATTCCTGTTCTTTCACAACCGGCCTGCAATCTTTCTTAGCTATTGCATTACAGTTACTTTGATCCAGACATCTCCAA